AACGAGCAGGAGCAGGAGAGCTGGTACACGGTTCTGACGGATCTAATAGCCGAGGGGAAGGTGTACGACAGCCCCGCTTCCACCTCCTCTTTAGTGGGCTTTGAGGAGACCAGCTACGGACTCATTGCTCCTGCAACAGCTGCTTATAAGGAGGTATGGCAGGTCAACTTGAAATCCAAAGGCTTGGGTCAGATCAAGAACCTCACTGGAGTGTACCGGCTGTGTTTGTCCAGTCGGACCATCAGCTTTGTCAAACTGAACTCAGAAACAGCTGCTGTCAGTTTACAGCTCATGAACATCCGCAGATGCGGCCACTCAGACAGCTTCTTCTTCATAGAGGTGGGCCGGTCAGCGGTCACCGGGCCTGGGGAGTTCTGGATGCAGGCGGAGGACTCAGTGGTGGCGCAGAACATCCACGAGACCATCCTTGAGGCCATGAAGGCCATGAAGGAGCTGTCAGAGTTCAGGCCGCGGAGCAAAAGCCAGTCAGCCAGCACCAACCCCATCTCTGTGCCCACACGACGCAACCTCAACAACCTCCCCCCCAGTCAGACGGGCCTGGTGAGGAGATCCAGGACAGATAGCATGGCAGCAACGTCCCCGGGGAGAAAGTTCACATCCTGCCGGATAAGAACGGCCAGTGAGGGAGACGGAAGCGTGACCCGGCCAGTGTCCATGTCCATATCTGTGACTGGAAGTCCCACCAGTCCAAACTCTGGGAACCACCTCAGCAGGTCCCATACCCTCAGCAGTGGGCGCACCTGCAGGATGCTAGAGTCCTCCTCCAACCTGCATCACAGCCGGTCCATGCCGGTGTCCAACTCCCCTCCAGCCGCCTCCAGCCCCATCAGCATGTCTCCCAGAGGGGGGGCCAGTATCTACACTCCTGACAAAGCCAGGCGACCTTTCAGCTGCAGCGCCTCCATCTCTGGCTCCCTCAGTGACACTGGCTTCATGCTGTGTGACGATTACAGCTCCAGCCCGGGCGAACCCAAATTCCTCCCCCTGACCCGCAGCGACACCCCTGACTCTCTGTCCAGCACGCCTCCATCCCGTGACATCAGCGACCCTTGTGGCTACATGATAATGGAGGGGGCGAATGGCAGCAGGTCTGGGGCTTACGGCGAGGGTCTGGCGTTTGACAAGGCTTACAGGAAGCGGACGCACTCCCTCACCACACCACGTCAACAGAGGGTGGTGGCGCCGCTGTCCTCGGCCTCCCTGGATGAGTACACGCTCATGAGGATGGCCCACGGACAGAACTCTCACTCCGCCTCGCCCAAAGTGTGCTACCCTGAGGATTATGGAGACATTGAAATCGGTTCATCCAGGAGCTCCAGCAGTAACCTTGCCGACGATGGCTACATGCCAATGACGCCAGGTGTAGTGTCCCAGTCTGGCAGAGCAGACAACTACGTACCCATGAGCCCCATGTGCGTCTCAGCGCCAAAGCAGATTGTGAACCCTAGGGTGCACCCTCAGGCGGCTGCCAGCGGCGGCTACAAGACCAACTCCCCCTGCAGCAGCTCCCTGGAAGACAGCGGCTACATGAGAATGTGGTGTAGCTCCAAATCGTCCATGGAGAGCCCAGACAGGAATGGTGAATACATGAACATGTCACCTGGAAACCCACCTCCACTCCAGACCCCCCCTGATTACTACTTGGGCCTGATGGCTGGCGAACCCACATCAGTGAGGCCGGCTTACCAGGCCGGCTCCCTCACGCTCCCTGCTAAACTTCAGGCCTCTAAGAATGAGGAAAGCAGCCAGTATGTGTTGATGAGCCCTCAGAGTTTGAGGCAGAGGGCGGGTGAGTCAGACTATTATTCAGTGATGCAGCCCAGTGCAGCTCAGACCTCACCCCTGAGCCCCTCTGTACCCTCCCCAGTCAGACACGGCCGGGCGGACACGCTGCCCTACAGAGGGAGGCTGGGCAGACCTAACAGGCTATCCCTAGACACCCTGAGGACCCTGCCCAGCATGAATGAGCACCCCCTCCCTGGAGAACCCCGAAGCCCTGGGGAGTACATCAACATTGACTTCAGCGGCGCCAGATTCTCCCCGCCCTCCATTGTATCCGCAGAGAGCCGGTCTTCGTCGCTGGGTTCCAGCAGCGGGGGCCCGGGGAGGTCGTCTCTGACAGACTACATAAACCTGGAGCTGGGCTCACACTCACCCAAGGGGGCTGACACTCCAGCTGAGCGCTTGGACACACTCCCAGAGTCATCAATGTGCCCCTGCTCAGAGGAGGATGCCGTGTACCATCTGGATAGTGAGAAAAGGTCTCAGGGCCTCGGCGATGAGGTGAAAAACGACTACACTGAGATGACATTCGGGATGACCAGCTCGCCTCCACAGCTTGTTCCTCAGAACACAGCAAGGTATGTGTATCTGTGTGGGGAGGGAGGGAATATCTGTCATTTATTCTCATTTATTCCAACAGTCTGGCTGTGTGATTGATCCCAGGCGGAGGCAAATATGTAGTTGAAATATTAAAGAACATGCATGTTAATTGTTACATTTTTTTACTCAATGAATAAATGTGTAAATTTAATTTGTAAAAATGTGTAAAAGTAAACGTTTGATAATCAATATTGAATGAATGAATCCAGATAGGAAACATTATTCTTGGTTGATTTCCTTTAATATATTTATACTGACCAGTGATCACAAAGGAGATCACAAACAGGATGTATTAGCTTCAATATACAGTAACTGGAATGTGGCTGTAACTCAACATCCAGTAAATATCTTTTAATATTTTAGTAATTGGATTGTATTTTAAATCTTTAGTTAATAGCTTCTGTAATATTATAAACATTGTTCTCCAGCAGCCAGAGCAGCATGGAGAGGAGGCTACCACTGGAGGATCAGGGAGTCCCAGAAGGCATTGGGGTCTTCCTGCTCGGGGCCACCTCTTCCTCCACAGTTGACCCTGACTGCTCCGCCAAGGTGATCCGGGCCAATCCGCAGGGACGCCGGCGCCACAGCTCCGAGACCTTCTCCTCTACCGCCACGGTGACGCCGGTCTTCCCCTCCTTCGCCCGCGGCGAGATGGTGAAGAGGCACAGCTCGGTGGAGAACATCTCGTCCCGGAGCAGCGAGGGCTCCGACGAGGAGTACGGCAGCCCGGTGAACCGGCAGAGCGCGGCCGGCTACCCGAACGGACTGAACTACATTGCCTTGAACCTGCTGGACAACAGGGACATGGAGAAATGCGAGGACCTGGCTGGCTTCAAACCCACCAGCAGCTGCAAAGGGGGTATCAATGGATTACACAGCACACCATATGTCTGTTTGGGATTCAAGGAGGCTGCAACCACTGCCAAAGGTGAGCAAGGCCGATGTCAGATGTGTTACTGCTAAATAATGTATCCAACCTTTCAGCTTAAAGTGCTGCAGGTGTTTTTGTTTTAAAGGAGGGAGTGAATTGTTTCAGGAATGTGAAAGGTAGCTCTTTTTAAACCAAACAAAAGAGCAAAGCAGATGGTTTTACTGTGTGAAAGAGCTGCGATGTGCAGTTGGAAGAGGGGAAAAAAAGAAAACAAGGATGAATCCAAACTTGCATTTCCTCTAAATTCAAATTCAAACTGTCTCTGTGGATTAAAGTACATAAGTAGGTGGTGCTGATGTGGCCTTCAGGTGCTCCTCTTAAGCTTCTGCTTTGGAGTACTCACAAATCCTGTAAACACGAGTAGCATTTTTTGTTCGGGTGGCGGGAGCGTCAAAAAGAAGTGGCTTCTCAGGTTTTTTTTGCAGTAAATCACGCTTTTTTTTCTTTTTTTTTTTTTTACTGCTTTTGAAACCATTCCCATTCTGTAACCCTGACATTTCCCACAACACGTGAACGCAGCACAAGGCTGCTATGAAACGTGACCAAGCCGAGGGCTCTGAAGTAAACAAGCACCATGACTGAGCAGGACGCTGCCTCGCTGCTACTGTTGTGGGCTGCAGACACTAAAAATACACAAACACATTTCGGAATTCCACCAACGCTTATTGTGAATGGAAAAACAGAAAGGAGAGCAGAGATTCATTTTAAAGCATCAGACACAAGAATACAGTAAACACAGAGGCAGGGGTATTAAATAGGTCCTTATCAAGTCTATAAAATTGGTTTACTATGGCTTGTTATTAGCAGTAATGCCAAAGGAATGCCACAATGCTGATAAGTAAGGCTTCCTCTCAGTTGTAATGTCACACTGAGCCGCGGGCAGTTCCGGCTGTTTTTTTTCAGTTGGGTAGGCTTTAGGATGTGTTGCACATCAATGTGACCTCTATAGACCCCTTACTCCCACCATCCGTGATCAATACGGTGTCCCAGAATATCCCCGGCGAACAAAATAAAGCTGTGGTCGTGGGACAGCAGACGGTGTAAGCGAAGAGCGCAGGGACAGCAGAATGTTGACATTAAAGCCACATTTGACTCTCTGTCCCCCACTGGACCCAGAGAGCTCACATGTGTTTGCGAGCACGTAGAAGGGGTGTGCAGCGGCCTGGGGTGAGGAGGGGGGGGTTTGTACGCTTGACATGTGAGGCCCAGCACAAGTGGATATGTGTTTTTGTGTGTGTGTGTGTGTGTGTGTGTCCTTGTAGGCAGTGGAGGTGGAAAACAACAAAGTGGGCGAGTTGCTATGCCACCATCAGGTAACTGGATGTCACGGTCCGCATTCCTGGCAGAGCGGGTTTTGAAAAAGTTGCTGTGAGAGGGGCCTGTTTTTGTCCCGGCTCCAGTCCATTTTGAATAGAAAGTGGCTTTTATTTCACCACAAGGCCCCTGTGTACAGAGAGGAGAGAGAAGTTCTATTACGTTTCATTTTTAACACTGAAACTGATTATTTGCACAGTCGGTGACATTGTGGTGAATAAAGAGGAATGTACCAACACAGCACAAGCCCCCTCAGGATGGAAAGTCAATTATTTTCTCAGAAGGACCTTCTGCATGTACTTGCGTTTTTCTGTTAAACAGGTGGTAAAGTGAGTTAACGATGGTCTGCTGCATCCTTTCAGAAACTTGATTAGCAGCGTCAGGACTATTAGCAACGTGTTGTTTGTTTTCTTCCCCGAGGTGTGTTTGTTTGCACGTGTTCTGTACTCCTGTTTTGATCGAGCGCATGTATTTTTATGGCCCTAATAAAGCTTGTTGAATGTAACTGACCAGGGAGAGGGAGGGGAAAAGACTCCAAGCACATACATGTGGACTCTAGCACGTACACATGTGGGGCAGTCGGGGGTTGTTTTTTTTCCCCCTCTCTTCTCTCAGGGATCTTTTTTTTTTTTTTTTTT